CTCTCCAGTGCTTGTGGTCGCACTTCAAGTCTATGGAATACGTGATTGTTGGCAGGCGAAATGGCGGGTGCCCGAGGCCTTGCAGAAATGTGAAATGTAAATCCTCTGAGCAGCCGAAGCGGCATCTCAAGAGGACCTGCGGTCCTTTCGGCCCGGAGCGCTCCAGGGAGATCCTTTCAATGCACGGATCCAGATGGATGTTTTCCTGTCGCACTTATACCCGCATGGCCTCGATGTTAGGCTGCTCGTCGTCTTTCATCTCGGTCTCGGAGCTGCAGGCCTCAGGGCAGTTCTAGACAATTCTGGGAATGCGCGCTCAGCAGTCTCTACGGTGGATGCAAGCGGTATGCCTCGCGGTGAGGCGCAGGGTCTGGCGGCTCCTACGGGTGGTGAGCCGCTCAAGTGCCGAAGTATTGTCGGTGAGAAACTCTGCTTGCGTCCTTCAGAGAGTCGTCGCCGTTGCCTTCGCAGGGACAGCGAGAAGGTGAATGTTCTTGTCTTTGCCTTGGCGCATACAGACCGAACTCATGAATTGCATGTGGTGTATCTGCTGCCGCTGAACACACACCCCTGCTCTGGTAGCAACACGCCCCAGTCAGGTTCTCACGCGAGGCAAGGGGGACTGTACAGGAGCAATCCAAAGTTTCAAGAAAACTTTCACGACGTAGGCGATCCCTGCATGGCCCAAGAAGCTGGGGGTAAGGGCGGGGGACCAGGGACGGCACTTGCTCCACCTGCCCAAATCTAAAGTCCACTTCCAGTGAAACAAATGGCGCAAGTAGGGCAAGTGGCATATTTTGCTTTGCCTTGGGCACGATGACAGAATGCAACATTGCAACATCGGTCACTGCCACCCAACCTTGTTCTCACCCGACCCGGGATTTGATACCCACTCCCGAGCTGTGCAACTCGGACAGATCCAGAAGCGTCCTTGTCTGCCCTAGATGCCGGTGGACAGATCTCACGTGCCGTGCCAACACTGTTTTTCTGCGTAGTTCGCTTCTTCCCTTCTGACTCCCCAGTCATCGTGCCCGGCTCCAAAGCGAACATCAGCCGAGTAGTGTTTCGCCGCAAACTTGGTCCATGCAGCTACCTCAAACCCGCGAAATCATGTCCCTGCGTGCCCCTCGGAGTCGGTTGCACAGTGCACGCTGGCCACAGTGCGCTGCGATACGTTCGACTTTAAGCCCTCGGCTGATGGACGGGCAGCGCATCACCAGGGTTTTCCGGCAGCTCGCCGCGGTGCTTTGATGGCGATGGCCTTGCATCAGCAACATCTTGCAGGAATCTTAAGGCATGGCTTTAATCAAGGTGTCATCCGAAGGCCTACTATAGACATCATGCTGCATGTCATGCGTCCGGATCTTGGGGTAGCGTTTCACACGTCTCACACAAACGCAGCGACTCTGGATCCAGTGCTTGTGGTCACACTGCAAGTTGATAGAATATACGTGACTTTTGGTGTGCGGAATGGGTACTCGGTACGTTGCAGAAATGTAGAAAAAGGTCCTGAGCAACGAGGATTGTGCTGAGTGCACCGTTTCCATAGCTGGCTCTGCCGAGACAGCAAAGTAACAACATCTGCGAGGCAATGCCTGCAGAATTGAAATCGCGTGCCGAAAGGCTGCATCTTGTCATCGCGCATAAGCTTCGTGACCCTCTCACAAGCTCCTGGCCCTGGATGCGAAGCCTTCAGGGATGCTGTATGAGGCTGCAAGCGTCGCAGAACAAACACAGTGGGATCGCGAGCGCGCCAGCCAAGTCCCTGAACGGCTAAAGGTTAAACAACTTGTGATTGGGACACCCTGCTAGGACTTCAGAGCGTCGAAGCAGGCTCCTGGATGAGACCTGCTTGACGCTCTGTCGAGGTAAGGGCAGCCATCACTCTCTTCAAAGCTTAGGCAACAAGACGCTAACTGTGTTTACTTGCTTCGGGAACTCTACAGAGGCCGCGAATCGAAGCAACTGCAGTTGAGAAGCGCTTCGTGCACTTTCTCGTTGTCAATCCGAAGCGCCTAGTTGTCGCTGCGAAGATCGCTGCACCTGAGCGAGGCTCGCACAGCATGCCTTCCAGCATAGCGTCGCAGATCCTTCATGCATACTGCTGAAGAACAGCTCGGCGACTGCTTCAGCAGCAGATCCTTCTCCTTGATCAATTTGCTGATCTGATCGACCAGAGTTCAGTAAGGTGGCGAGCTCCACCTGAGTTTTTTTCAAACGGAGTTCCATGTACATGCCAGCTGCACGGCTGCATGCAAAGAAGGGCTGGGCTGGAACATGTCTTTTTCAGCTGAGTTTCTTCCGGCACGAATCTTCACCAGAAGACGGGGAGACATGAAGAATCGGTCCTGGCGTAGCATTCCGCCACGTCTCTGTGCCAGTCGGAGCACCGTTCCATGCCATCGGCGACCATGGCAGACTCAACGTGAATCTCTTGTATTGGGTTCCCTGTAGATGTTACCTGCATGCAACGGCCTGAAACCTGTTTTCAGCTGAGTCTCTCCGAGGGCGACCTGCGCTCGCCAAAGGACTGGTCGTCATCACGAATCAGCCCATGCGGCCACATCTCCATGCCAGTCGGAGCACCACTGCATGGCATCGGAGTCATGATGCAGGCTTCTGGCAAGACACTTGGACACGTTGCTGTGTGGAAGATCTTGGCATGTCCGAAGCACCAAGAGTGCATAGCTGCAGTGACTCAATCAACAGGCTGAGCACTGTCTGGGGCCACAAGAACAAATGCAAGCGAAGCAAATCAAACTCTGCAGTGCACGCAACGCAGCACCCAGGCTTCCGGCGACATGGCCCCCACTAAAGCCGACCTGTAGGTGAGCTTCGGTTTAGGGCTTCTATTTGGAACGAGCCTTTTTCGGTTAAGGACTCAGGGTTTAGAGTTTAGGGCTAATTCAGGCCACACCGAAAGTGCAAGACTTTGCCCATCAGCCCCACTATGACTCCTCCTCCTCCTCCTCCTCCTCGTCCTCCTCCTCCTCCTCCTCCCGCTACTGCTGCTTCGCTTTCCCAAACCTGTAAAGAATCTACCTACCTAGAGGTTTAGATCTAGAGCTTATATAGAGAGCCTTCGCTAAATGTTCACAGACATCGTCACACCTGCATGGTTCTCCATCATAATCTTGCTCTCAAGCCGCACCAAACGCTGCGCAAGTACTAGGCCCACACTAAGCGGTTGTTCAGCTCGCATGTCAAACTTCCATCAGTGGCCAAATATGGGTCTGCTTCGAAGCTTTGAACCAGTAGTCGCACATAACCACAACCGGCACTGCCTTAAGCTGTTGCCGCCTTTTGCGCTATTAATATGATGGCCCTCGATATCACTGCTGCTGTTATTGTTGGCCTCCATAGCCCCTTAAAGCTTCAATGCCAATACATGTAGCCTGAACTCGACAACTTGGATCAGGAAAACACCCTAGACCCTCACCCCTGAATCCTAACCCTAATAAGCCCCACCCCCCAACCTGTCCACACTCACCAGTTCAGACGGAGGAGCCCGAGACTTGGCAAGTGCACGTATCCTCTGGCACACGGATGCTGAGCCGAATTGGCGACGACGTGGACAAGGACGACCAGGGGGATCATCTTGAAGATGGATGGTGGTGATGCTGAAGAAAAGACGATGACAAGGATTGTGATGCTGATAACGATTACGATGATGTGATGATGATGACCACTGCGCAGATGATGATGATGCTGCTGTTGGTCAAGCTGGAAATGCTAGTCGGTGATGGATAGTATGGTGATGGATCTGGCGATGGTGGTCTTGGTGCTGGTGACAGAGATGATGGCGATGTTGATGCAGATGCGCATGGTGACACTGACGCACATTGATGCTGGTGTTGATGGTGATGCTGATGATGACGTTAGTTAGTGATGCAGAAGATGAAGAATAGGATGCTGGTGATGATGATGATGATGATGATGATGACGATGACGATGCGATGGTGGTGGTGATGGTGACGGTGATTCGGAGCTGATTTCCACGATGACGATGACGACGATGACTCGAAGATGATGATGATTCGATGATTACACAGGGTTCGATGATTATGTTTCGATGGAGATGATGATGTTGATGCAGAGAACGATGGTGATGTCGATGATTATGGTATGGCCATCACTGATGAAGACATGGTCATGATGATTATCACGATGACATTGATGATGACAATGGATTATTACGATGATGATGATGATGATGGCCATGATGCAATCGTGATCATGATAACGATGATGGTGATGGTACCGATGGTGGTGCTGGTGATGATGTTGATGATAACGACAAGTCCTAATCGATAACTTCGGGCATAGGATCTTGCGCTTGAAGGGTTCCAGGGCAAAGCAATCCTGTGACATCGGGTTTTGGGTCTGAGCCCAGCCCAGCCCTATGCGATTGGCTCCGTCAGCTGCGTTGAGGAAGGTGTTACTCTGCCCTTATTCAGGGTGTCATAAGGCTAACTTCAAAATCCGAAATGCATGTCAAGCTACTCCTCAGCAGCAGTTGTGGTGGAGCGAGGGCTTTGGGGGACATAGCTGAAAGCCTGGCGAAGCTGTCTGCCTGCTTCGTACAGTTAACGCACCGTGGATCATCCCGGAGCCTGGAACTTTGCCAGCCAAGCAACGTCTGCAGCAGGAATGGCTGTGCTGCAATCCAATGAACAAAGACAGACTATATAGTTCCGTGTCACTGGAGTAATCCAGCATCACATCAGGGCTTGCAGATCCCCCAAAACAGCTGCTCCCTTTGGCGACTGGGAGAGTTCGCAGGCGACAGCTTCATCGAAGTATGATGCAACGAAAAATTCTCCCTGCCACTTGCTCATGATGAGGCAGGTATTTTAACAGTAGCATAGGCCCCGACCCGAAAGAAAGGAACCGTGTATCGCCTTGGCGCAGAAGGGTTTTGGGTTTAGGATGCAGAACTGCTACTTTGCACTGCAGGTTTTTGCACAGCGCTGCGCATTGTGCTGCTTTTGAGACAGACGTTAGCAACGGAACAGACTTGCCATGCTGCTCTTCACCTCTGCAAAGTCCGGCGAGTCCGACAAGGCCAGGAGCTGCCGCCTTTCATCTGCATAGGTTCGACTGGCATCGTCATCCGCGAAGCACAGGAGCTTCAGATGACCAACCGCCAGCTTCTGGTAAGTAGCTCTGGTTTGAGCTGATGTTGATTGAAGGCTATGTAAGAAATTGACAAGCAGAGATGCCCAATCCTGACGCTGACTCTTCGTCAGCCATCGCAGGAGCGGCTCGAGATGGGCCATGTACGGTGCCATGAGCCTCCAGGTCGTCTGTGTCTCCCTGCCGGTTGACAAGATGTCTGTCATCTGACGGAGCACGGTGTCTGCGATCAGCTCCTTCACGAAGCCGAGGGCGCCCAAGGCATGCTCTTGAATGATATGGTGCGCTGCCGCACGCACACCTTCATCAGAGTCCAGGCAGTGAGTTAACAAGTCAGCGAGGTTGTTGCCGACGGTTTGGCGGACATAATCTTCAGAAAAATGGGTTGTGCTGGTTCTCGCAAGCATCACGCACCAGTCCTGACCTGAGATGAAGACCAAGCGAGACTGTGGACTGTAGGAAGAAGGATCTCCCAACGGTAGAAATCTAGCTTTAACATTGCTCTCATCAATCAAGAGGCAATCGAAGCGCTTCTTGCGTTCGACATCGTCGGGAAAAGGTTCGGAGTCTGAGAGAATGCGGTCCACCCCATCCGAAAATGCGACGACTGCATCGGACCTGCGCTTATCAGAATATTCCCGACACTTTCCTCGCACTTCAATCAGCACGAGCACGCAAATAATTCAGCCAAGGACTCGGCGTGTCGAACCTGCCAAGCTCGGCCACATGCCGTAACAAGACCTTGGCGTGAAACTCGACAGGACGCTTCAATTGAAGCCTCACGCACCCTGCCCCAAGCCTCAATTAGTCCTTTTGCCACGTGCTCTTGGCCCCGCCTCGGGACTCCGGGTTTGTTCGGATGTCACACGCCAGGCTAGGATGTCTGGCACCTGGACTGTCGCGCTGTGCTACCACTCAGGGCACTTTGCTGGAATCTGGCATTGCAGACGAGCCGCAGAGAAGTAATCCAAAAGAGCAGGCCTCGGCACGGTGCAGAAAAAGCTGGAGAATGCGCTTTGTGCTTGGCTTGCCCGTTCTCTGGGAACTTGCGAGGCCGAGTCGCAACAAATCGCATGCCGGGTGAAAAAGATCGGCAAAAGCCTTGCGCCCGTGTGCGACGCAAGCATCTAAAGGGCCCGTGGACGTGCTCTTGTCGCACTTAGATCCACAGGCCTTGATGTTGGGCTGCTCCGGGTCTGGAAGCTCCTACGGCTGAGCCGCACAAGTGCTGAAGTATGGTCGGCGAGGTCACTCTGCTTGCGTCCTTCGGAGAGTTGTTGCCGTCAGTGTCGCAAGTACTCTGAGGTGAAGACGCACAGGTTTCGTCTTCTTGTCTGTGCCTTGGCACATAGACCGAACCCATGAATTGCATGCGTTGTGTCCACGGCTGTTGATTTCGTGAGGTTCTCACCCTGGGCCAAAGCAGGGAACGTTCCTATCCATCCCCTTTTTTAATCGCTCTGTGTTAGCTATTCAGCTATTCTGCACCCGGTGGGGCAGCCTGGAGCATCTGTGTATGCTGCTGCTTCAGCTGCTGCTTGCGAGGCAGGACACTCTCAGTATCACGCCAATTTTAACAGTGTTACTAGCGTTCTTTTCGACCTGGCCTCACTCCTCCCCCCCCCCCTCCCCAAGTTTCAGGATATTGGAGAACACACTTCAGCAGCGCGCTTTTTCGACCTGGCCTCACTCCCCCCGAGCCCCTCCGCCCTGCCCCCCCCCGATCTTTAGGATATTGATGATTTGAAGATTCAACTTGTGTTTCAGTTTCTATCGTGGTGAATCGGCGCGCTGCAACATCAGCGGTGTGCCGTGCAAAGGCTGCGATCTGACTCCCCCACCGGCGCCTGAGCGTCCGCAAGGCAGGTGCTGCCAGCACAGCTCAGTGGCTCAGTGTCCGACTGAGGGTTCGGTTCCTGGCTCCTCGGCAGCAGAGTGCTGCGAGCATCCCTCAGAATTAAAGCTGGAAAGAAGGATGGCGGCCCAAGGCGCTCTGTGGTGCCCGCACGGGGTGTCGATGCAGCGACGGGGCAGCCCTCATGCCTGTGGAAGCTTTCTTCAGCACGGCCCTGAGAAGTTCGAGGTGCCCACTGCAAGCGAGGCACAGATCGCCGCTGTCTGCGCTCTGCTCTCGAGGGATCGAAAGCCACAACGATGGCTCCTACGATGCTGTGCAGAAGTTAGCGTTGAGCGACTCATTGCCGCGCTGAAACAACGAAGCTACAGGTCCTACAGGTAGCTGCTCTTCCACCGGGGGCTATCCTGAATGACAAACCCAACCTGCGAACCTTCAGGTGGCACTGCTCTGGAAGCAACTCCATGTCACAAGCCGGTCTCTGTGTCCTGGGCAGCACAGTTCTCTGCCAGGGGCCGCTCTGAATTGAAATGCCTGGGCTGATGAGGCTGGCGAAGCGGTGGAGGCAGGGATGGGGGAGGGCCAGCTGTCAGCATAGTGGAGTAGGACGAAGAGTAGTGAGTCTACAAGCCAAATATATAATATAAATATGTATATATATATATAATATGAATATAGATAGATGATAGATAGATAGATACTTGTCGCTTGCTCTCAAGTCCCCGCTGAGTGTAGTGCCTGGGAACACCCACGCGGACGAGTCGAAAAAACGACGCATTGCTGCCCAAGGATCCCGGCAGTACCACAAGGCAGGAAGAGCGGAGCATCAATTGCGAGTTCGCCATCCTTTACCACCACGGTCTCCTGGCTTGAACAGGTCGGCGCTTTTGGCAAAGTTCCATCATGCTCCATGGTTGCCCGGTTGCCCATGTTGAATCAATGATTCAAACTCCCAGACTGACAAGCATTGACCTCATCTGCCTGGGAGAAAACACTGCATGCTCCCCAAAGTCTGGCCTGGGCAGCACAGTTCTCTGCCAGGGGCCGCTCCGCGTTGCAGTGCCTGGGCTCGTGCTAGTGCTGCAGGTGCCTGCTGGCCAACATGCCAGTGCAGTTGGCAAGCATGGGGGATGTCGTGCAGCCGGCATACTGAGTCTCGTGGAGACTCAGTATCTGCCTGATCTGGCACGACATCTTCCGTGATTCAATTTCAGCTCTCCCTTTGCGCTTGGGGGTGAGGTCCCGCATGATAGACAGGCGAGCGAGCTGCCGGGATGAAGCATCCTGAGCCACATCCAACTGCTCCGAGAGTTCCTCGACGAGCTTCCGCACGAAGACGAGGTGAACGCTGTCGGGCCAGTTCCTCGGACAGAGCCGTCAGAGCCGAGCCTTGCAGAGTACCGCTCATGTTGTGCGCCAAGACACTCCCACGTCTCCAGCTGCTGCCGGACCCAGCGGCGATGGCGTGTCATCGGCGGCGGCATTTGGCTTGGAGACATGAGATATGCTTTGTTACGGTTGCATTTGGTCGTATGCCTCCTCGTCCTTCATTGCTGCGCTGCAGTCTCTCTCGGTTGACAGGACATCTGCAGAAGTAGTCAGTCTCAGGCGAGTGCACTGCACGAACGTGTGCAGAAGTGCGAGGCTGAACCAGAGCAACAATGTCAAACGACTGGACGTACATAGCCCGGGACCTATACTACGACTGAAATTGTCCCGACACTACCGCCACAAACCACTGCTAAACCATTCAGCAGCCGCTGAAGTTGTGGCAACCCGATGGTACGACCGACGTCATGCGGCCGGCAAACCCAAATATATCCAAATACCCAGAAACCCTGCAGCTACCAGTCCCCGAACGAATGGTTCATTGCGTCAACCAGCTTTTCCCAACGAGCTCGCAGTCGCATGTGTGAGGCCACAGTCCAGCAGATGTCACGACCTGACAAAGCGTAGCTTCCCTGTTCGAACGACGCTTTCCTGTTCGCCGGCACGCAGCGAATCGACAGTTAGTTACAAACGGAATTGTTCGGGGTTCACGAGTCTGAAGAATTTCTGTGCTAAGATATAACAAGCATAACAGCTGAACATAGCAATACAGTATCAGTGTATATGTATGCATATATAAAGTATCTATGTACAGTACACGTGCAGTACATGATAGCTGGACACACGGGAGAAAGCTGAGGTCAACATTGTCCACCCTGGCACTGTTGATCAGTCCAGCGCATCTAGCAGCTAGCAGACAAGAGAAGCTTGCACATAACAGCAGAGAAGCACGGTGTAGTGAAACGAAGAGGAAGCACGCCCTTAATTGCTGCATGCCTAGAGGGGACGTCCAACCCGTCCAACAGGCTATTGCAAGTAAAACCTCAGAGATCATCATGGGAGTGGAAGCTTCTGGCCGTTGAAAACCCGAATAAATATTGAAAGAATACGGAAGGCAGGATCTCCTCCAATTATGGGATCAAAGAAAAGCAGATAAGATTGGAAATCCAGAAATTGGACATCGGATTCAGTTTTGATCTTCGCCTTGTAGCTTCTGGTGGCAGCAAAGATTAACTGTGTTTGTCCTGATTAGTTTCCCTCTCTGCTCTTTGTTTGCAAAGAACCGGCAATGAATTCGTGCTATAAGTTCAAAAGACAAAACACAATTCAACCTTCGCCTAATCTGCTTTCTCGTGCAATGTAAGCACCGCACTAGATTTGGAAAACGACAACTCATCCACTGTTTCGATCGCGACAAGGTCAAACGTTAACACTTTAACGATGTGTGACCGCTTTAGCTCACCGGGTTTGTGAAGACGTTATAGAAATTATGCCAACGACGCAGTCGACTGTTCACAGTCACTGAATTTGGTGCGATAACAGTTTCGCACGGCTCTGCCACTGCATTCCCCGGATTTTCTGAAGAGATGTCCTCATGAAAGCAAGCAATTTATCCGCTCATGCATCAGAGAACACCTGTGGCTTCGGGGCACGAACTGCTAACAGTTAACAGTCTTTGCCGCGACGCTGAATGCATCAGGACTTACTTGCAGGTCGGATGCATCTTCTGCACGGAATCACTTGGCTGAGACTTATTCTCTATGCTGGGACAGGGACACTCAGCTTCTCTGGCTTCGTTGGCTGCCTGTGAGCCTCCTGAGACACGTTCAAGATGCAGATACATGCAGAAACGATCCTTCTATGGTTCGCGCTGGTGAGGACGGGGCAACTGGTTGGCTGTCCAGCGCGGCAGCGCTGCTCCTTGGGTTTCCGAACTTTTCATGACAACTCACAAACATAAAGGCAAGGCATCGGCCCTGGTTGTGGAATCTTTGAGCAGGGAATCTCCTTGGTGCAGAAGCACGTAACAACGTCACACCTGGCGATGTAGAATTGCCACCTTGCACCGCACTGTTTTTGCGCAGCGCTGCGCATTGTGCTGCTGGTGAGACAGACGTTAGCAACAGAAGAGGCTTGCCATGCTCATCTTCACCTCTTCAAAGTCCGGGGAGTCCGACAAGGCCAGGAGCTGCCGCTTTTCATCTGCGTAGGTTCGACATCCGCAAAAAAGAGGAGCTTCAGATGATCAACCACCAGCTTCTGGCAAGCAGCTCAGCTCTGTTCGGAACTGATGCTGGTTGAAGGCTATGCAAGAATTTGACAAGCAGAGATGCCCAATCCTGACGCTGACGCTTCGTCAGCCATCGCAGGAGCGGCTCGAGATGGTCCATGTGCCGCAAAATGTGATTCCGGGTCGTCTGTGTCCCCCTGCCGGTTGACAAGATGTCTGTCATCTGACTGAGCGTAGTGTCTGCGATCAGCTCCTTCACGAAGCCGAGGCCGCCCCAGGCGTGTTGTATAACGATATGGTGCGCTGCCCCACGCACGCCTTCATCAGAGTCCAGACAGTGAGTTAACAAGTCAGTGAGGTTTTTGCCCACGGTTTGGCGGACATAGTCTTCAGAAAAATGGGTCGTGTCCGTTTTCGCAAGCCACATGCACCAGTCCTGACCTGAGATGAAGACCCAGCGGGACTGTAGGAAGAAGGATTTCTCAACTGTAGCACTTTAGCTTAAATCAATCAAGAGGCAATCGAAGCGCTTCTTGCCTTCGGCATCGTCGGGAAAAGGTTCGGAGTCTGAGAGAATGCGGTCCACCCCAGCAGAAAATGCGACGACTGCATCGGACCTGCGCTTATCAGGGTATTCCCGACACTTTCCTCGCACTTCAATCAGCACGAGCACGCAAATAATTCAGCTAAGGACTCGGCGTGTCGAACCTGCCAAGCTCGGCCACATGCCGTAACAAGACCTTGGCATGAAACTCGACAGGGCGCTTCAATTGAAGCTTCATGCACCCTGCACCAAGCCTCTCAATCAGTCCTTTCCACATGTGCTCTTGGCCCCGCCTCGGGACTCCGGGTTTGTTCGGATGTCACACTCCAGGCTAGGATGTCTGGCACCTGGACTGTCGCGCTGTGCTACCACTCAGGGCACTTTGCTCCAAAAGAGCAGGCCTCGGCACGGTGCGGAAAAAGCTGGAGAATGCGCTTGGCTTGCCTGTTCTCTGGGAACTTGCGAGGCCGAGTCGCAAAAAATCGCATGCCGGATGAAAAAGATCGGCAAAAGCCTTGCGCCCGTGCGCGATGCAAGCATCTAAAGGGCCCGTGGACGTGCTCTTGTCGCACGTAGATCCACAGGCCTTGATGTTGGGCTGCTCCGGGTCTGGAAGCTCCTACGGCTGTGCCGCGCAAGTGCTGAAGTATTGTCGGCGAGGTCACTCTGCTTGCGTCCTTCGGAGAGTTGTTGCCGTCAGTGTCGCAAGTACTCTGAGGTGAAGACGCACAGGTTTCGTCTTCTTGTCTGTGCCTTGGCACATAGACCGAACCCATGAATTGCATGCGTTGTGTCCACGGCTGTTGATTTCGTGAGGTTCTCACCCTGGGCTAAAGCAGGGAACGTTCCTATCCATCCCCGATTCAATCGCTCTGTGTTAGCTATTCAGCTATTCTGCACCCGGTGGGGCGGCCTGGAGCATCTGTGTATGCTGCTGCTTCAGCTGCTGCTTGCGAGGCAGGACACTCTCAGTATCACGCCAATTCTGACAGTGTTACTAGCCGAGCCTTCTTTTCGACCTGGCCTCACTCCTCCCCCCCGTCCCCAAGTTTCAGGATATTGGAGAACACATTTCAGCAGCGCGTTTTTTTCGACCTGGCCTCACTCCCCGCGAGCCCCTCCGCCCTGCCCCCCCCCGAGCTTCAGGATATTGATGATTTAAAGATTCAACTTGTGTTTCAATTTCTATCGTGGTGAATCGGCGCGCTGCAACATCAGCGGTGTGCCGTGCAAAGGCTGCGATCTGACTCCCCTACCGGCGCCTCAGTCATCGTGCCCGGCTCCGAAACGAACCATCAGCCGAGTAGCTGATCTCCCTGCTCCTCCTGGAAGGGCATCGTCCCACTCCGGGTCTCCGCCTCTCCCGGAAACCTGGGTCCATGCAGCTACCTTTAAACACACGAAGGCAGTGGAACAGCCTGGGTGATGGCATTTTTGGAGAGCAGCTTCCTCTTTTCACGGGAGCTTACGCAAGCCATGCCTTCATCCGCGAGGTAACATAGTCAGTCATAACAAGTCACCAAACCTTCCTATTCCCAAACAGGTTGGGATGGCTCAGCAATGTCTCCAAAGGCCTGGACTCTCGACTTTAAGCTGATGGACAAAAAACACAGTCTAAGGCATGACTTTCATCAAAGTGTCATCCACAGGCCTTGTTCTAGGCCTAGACATCATGCTGCATGCCGTGCGTCCGTATCTCGGGGCAGCGATTCACACGTTGGATATAAATACAGCGACTCTCCAGTGCTTGTGGTCACACGACAACGAATATCTCACACAGAGAACCATAGATCCCTGGCACACGCAGACTCTTTTCCACCTGCTTCCGCAACGGTGGCGTAAGTCTGCGTATCGATCGATCTTCAATGAAGTCGATTCGTAGTTCATCATTCCTTACAGGAATGTGATCGTTAGAGTTTGATGATCAAGTCCATGATGGTGAAGTTGATTCGTAGTTCATCATTCCTTACAGGAATGTGATCGTTAGAGTTTGATGATCAAGTCCATGATGGTCGCATTATCGTGTAAGTAGGTGCTGATCGTGGCGTGAGACTTGAGCCCGATCTTCGCAAGGTAGCGGCCAAGACATCGGTGATCAGGTCTACTCCGGCCAACGCGGCCGCATCGTCGAGTGGGTTAGTGGCCATGTTGTGGGGCTTCTAATGTCTTGAACTGGAAAAGACAGGGCTATCGGGCAGTGAGCATTCGGCAGATACTCGTCGGGTGCAAGGCAAGAGAGTGGGTTCACAGTTTCGAGGGCGGAGGGACTCACAAAGCCTCGGTCGGTCCCTGGGCACAATCGGAGTAAACCGACGACACATCGCCGAGGCGGAAGTCGAGAGTCCACTCGTGGCTGAGCATCGGCGAAGTCTTGTGCCTCG